TATTTTAGAGAGAGAGTGTGGTGGGGGGAGGGGTAGAGGGAGAGGAAGAGAGAAACCCAAGCCAACTCCATGCTCAGCATGGAGCCCCACTTGGGGCTCACTCCCATGACCCTGAGATCACAACCTGCGCCAAAGAGTCGGACACTTAACCAACTGCACCACCCAGGCATCCCCCCAGTACTCATTCTTAATTTAAAAAAAAAGCTCAGCTTATGAGAAAAGCTACTATATTAAGTAGCCAATTTTGGACTTTGAGTGAGAAACATTGAAAGTATTCTTAGTTAAAATAAGCAAGAAAAAGAGAGTGCCTGCTATCATCCTTGTGATTGATCTTGTTTTAGTCCTGACCAGAATTGTTTAACATTCCCAAAATAAAACAATAAAAAAGTTTGTCCAGACTAATAAGAGGTGTAAATATTGAAAAGAAAGAGGGACGGCTGGGTGGTTCAGTTAGTTAAGTGTCTGCCTTTGTCTCAGGTCATGATCCCAAGGTCCTGGGATTGAGCCCTGCATTGGGCTCCTTGCTCAGTGGGGAGCCTGCTTCTCCTCTGCCTGCCGCTCCCCCTGCTCTCTCACTCTCTCTCTGTCAAATAAATAAATAAAATCTTTTTAAAAAATACTGAGGGACGCCTGGGTGGCTCATCCATTAAGCATCTGCCTTCAGCTCAGGTCCTGGGGTCCTGGGATTGAGCCCCGCATCGGGCTCCCTGCTCCGCGGGGAGCCTGCTTCTCCCTCTCCCACTCCCCCTGCTTGTGTTCCCTCTCTCGCTGTGTCTCTCTCTGTCAAAAAATAAATAAAAAATCTTTTAAAAAAAATTAAAAATATTGAAAAGAAATAGAAATTCTTAATTATAAATGATATAATTTTATATTTAGAAAATCCTAAGGAATCACAGAAAAACTTAATATGCAGACAAATTCAGCAAAGTAGTTAGATATGGGATGAATATATAAAATGAATAGCAGTGTTTATATGACCTATAGCAAGTTAAAATTTCTGCAATGTATTGGGGCGCCTGGGTGGCTCATTTGGTTAAGTGGCCAACTCTTGGTTTCAGTTCAGGTCATGATCTCAGGGTCGTGGAATCGAGCCCCGTGTCAGGCTCCTTGCTCAGTGGGGAGTCAGCTTGAGGATTCTCTCTCTTTCCCTCCCCTTCTGTCCCTCTGCCCACTCAACACTCTCTCTCTCTCTCTCAAAAAAATTTTCTTCAGTGTATATTCCATTTATATGCATTAGCCATAATTTTTTAAACATAATAGCATTAAATCATATAAAAAATAAATAAGATAATCCTATGGGAATTAAACTATAAAATTAATTACTGAATGGGTTAGAACAGAGACATGCAAGGTATCCTTAAAGAAACTGTTTCCCAGCCCTAATATTTAAATATAATCTGATAGGAGGAAATCAGAGGTCCCCAAGGTCACCCCCAGGCTCAGCGATTCACGAGGAGTGATAATTCTCAGCATATAATCACACTCACTACTAAGATTTATCACAGTAAAAGGATACAGTGCAAAATCTCAAAGGAAAAAGGCACATGCTATCAAGTCCAGAGAAAAGCAAGCACAAACTTCCACGAGGCCAGTGATGTCACACAGGATGCACTCAGTTCTTCTTACAAGTGAGACAACATGGGTGAAATGTCTACCAGCGAGGCTCACTAGGGACTCAGTGCCCATGGTTTTCATTGGGGACTCATTGTGTAGGCACCCTCTGCCTGGCCCATACTAACATGCCATTGTCCCAGAAGAAAAGCAGGTCTCAGCATAAACCATCTTGTTTATACAGTCCAGGTAAAGCGAATTGCTCTTACCAGTTTTGCTAATGGTGGGAACCCTCCCCAAATCTAAGTCCCCAGAAGCCAGCCTACGGCCAGCCTTGTAAGCAGGCAGTCAGGCTTGCAGTCAGGCTTGTTAGGCAACTCTCTCCACAGGGTATTGGGGGGAAAAAAAAAGAAGAGAAAGGTTGGTCAACAAGGGAAGCAAAGAAAAAGGAGACCTTGGGACATAAATAATAGCCATCTGCATTTTAACACTATCCAAGAACAAGATCATCAGGGCCAAAGATCCAGAAGGCCATCTCTGCAGTGTAGATAAATGACTCAAGCTGCCCTATCTGAAGAATGCTCCTTAATATCATTCAACTTACTCCCTTTGTTTTGATTGTAAGAAATTGCTAATTTACTTGTTTAATTTTTTATATTGATACTATATTCACAAAGTCACAAAATCAAAAATTTTAAAAAGGCTTATTATGATATCTCTTTATACCTCCCAGTCTCAATTCACTCACTCTCTTTCTCTCTATGGGTAATCACTGTTGTCTGTTTCTTGTTTATCCTTCTAGAATTTTTTTAACGTATATATAAGCCAAAACAAATACATAGTCTTAGCTATATAAATGGCAGTTAACATGCTATATACAACTGTTCTACAGCTTACTTCGTTTTCACTTAATGAGAAATGTTGGGGGGGCGCCTGGGTGGCTCAGTCAGCTAAGCGTCCAACTCTTGATTTTGCCTCAGGTCATGATCTTACGGTCATGAAATTGAGCCCCATGTCGGGCTCCCTGCTGGGCGTGGAGCCTGCTTAAGATTCTCTCCTTCTCCCTTTCCCCTCTGTGCCCCCCTCCCACCCTGCTCTCTCTCTCTCAAAAAAAAAAAAAAAAAAATGTTGGAGCTCTTTCCATATCCCTTCATAAAGAACTTTTTGTTCTTTTCTTTTTTTTTTTTAAATATTTTATTTATTTATTTGAGAGAGAGAATGAGACAGAGAGAGCATGAGAGGGGGGAGGGCCAGAGGGAGAAGCAGACTCCCCGCTCAGCAGGGAGCCCGATGCGGGATTTGATCCCGGGACTCCAGGATCATGACCTGAGCCGAAGGCAGTCGCCCAACCAACTGAGCCACCCAGGCACCCTGTTCTTTTCTTTTTTTAATAACTGCATAGTATTCCATTGTATGGTTGTGCCAGAATTTATTTTACCACTTTACCAATCCCTTGTTGCTGGTCATTTGGTTGTTTCTAGTCTTTACTGTTACAACCAGTGCTGCAAGGAATAACTTAGGGCTTAATGTTATCACAAGTTTGAGAATATATTGTTAGTATAAATTTTTAGTTGTAGAATTCCTGTGTTAATGGAATGTAGATGCTGCCAAATTGTCTTCTAAAGAATTTGTTCCAATTTATACTCCTATCATCTTCATATGAGTGTTTGTTTCCCCATATTCTTGCCAACAGTGTATATTCTCAAACTTTTGGAAATTTTGCTAAACTGGTAGGTTAAAAAATGATATTGTAGCGTAGCTTTGATTTTATTTCTCTTATCAGTAACATTAAGCATCTTTTTCATGTATTTGAGTTAGTTGTATTCCCTTTTCTGTGAATTCCCTGTTGTCTTCCACTCATTCTTCTATTGGATCAGTGGTCTTTTTCTTACGGATTTGGAGAAGCTCTTTCTATATTAAGAATATTAATCTTTGTAATGTGCCTTGCAAATATTTTCCCCAGTTCATCATTTCACTTTTGATTTAGCTTATGCTGTATTTTACTATGCACAAGCCTTTGATTTTGTAACTGGGCTTATTAATCTTTTTTTTAAGTTTCTTTATTTTTTGAGTACTCTCTACACCCAACATTGGGCTTGAATTTATGACCCAAGATCAAGTGTTGCTTGCTCTTCCAACTGAGCCAGCCAGCACCCCAGGGTTTATTAATCTTAATCATAATAGTTAGAAAGATCTTCTCGGTTATAAAATAATAACACTTATTTTCTTATATTTTCTTTCAGCACTTTTATTGCTTTTTTTTTTTACATTTAAATCTTTGATATATTTGGAATTATCCAAGTGTGTGGTGCAAAGTATGGAGCCAACTTTTTTCTAGATGGCTATCCAGTTTTTTCCCTACTGGATAGCCATCTAGCCATTAAATTTTCCTACTTTCTTATAAATTTTATTTTATTAATTTATTTTAAGTAATCTCCACACCCAACGTGTGACTTGAACTCACGACTCTGAGATCAAGAGTCACATGCTCTTCCAACCAAGCCAGCCAGGCACTCCAAATTTTCCTACTTCCTACTTTGAATTATCATCTTTATCATATATACTGAAGTCCTGTCTGTTTTGGGGTCTGATTTTGGATTCTTTGTTCTCTTCCATTGGTCTTCTGTCTACTCTTCTGCCAGTGCCACATATTTTTAGTTACTGAGGCTTTAAAGTATGTTTCAGTATCTCATGAATCTAGTTGCCTCTCTTTGTTCTTCTTTTTCAGAGTTTTCCTGGCTAATCTACTTTTTCCATATGAACTTTAGAATTATTTTTTTCAGTTGCAGGAAAAAATATCTGTGGCCATTTTTATTGAGGTTGGTTCAAATTTTAATAAATTAGTGTAATAGTATCTTTAGAATGGGTTTCTCTCTAAGAACATATTATATCTTTCCATCCTTTAGAGAAAGGATATCCTTAATCAGGCAAAGAGTATTCTAGTTTGAGTATCAGCTTTAATTCTCACTGTAAATTAACATATTGACATTCTGGTTTTATACATCATTCTGTGTAAGCAGTTAATTTCATTCACAATGAGAAATGGTTGCAGTCTTCTCTGATTACTCCCCAATAAGTCAGGTTTTAGAGCCTGTAAAGCGGAGAGCCAGATTCTAGAGCTTGGAAAATCCACCCCTGTAAATAATTGGTGTGTACATTGCCTATTTTGGCAGATAGCCAGACGATCTTTCCCTATAACACCGCAACTATGTATATGCCTTTATTTTAAAAATAAATAGTTTACTTTTAGTAAACTTAACTATTGTAAGAAAGTCTATTATGCATGGTAGTTATACATGATGGCAGTCTGTTCAGCTGTTATTGATGTTTCTGCATCTGCTTACGAGTAAAAGGGCCCTATGTACACTAATGACATGCTTTGGAAAATTACTGAGTAACTATCTTTGGTCAAATTTTTAATGAAAGTTTTAAATTCTTATATGTTACAGAATTTCACAAACTTATTTGGACAGCCACTAGTCTGCTTGCTTTCTCCTACAGCATATCCAAAAGCTTTACAAGGTATGTTGTCATTACCTGTTATATCCATAGGTTGCAAATAAACACTGTCTGCATTTTGAATAATACTAATCTTTGTCTCCCCACCTATAATGATCACATGTTGATTTATAGTGCTTAACGTGGCAGGTGTCAGTCTGAAATAAACCCAGAAGTCTTGCCAACAACTAGACTTCTTTAATGCGCTGCCATTAGGTCTTGAGATAATTCTAAAAGAAATGATAAATCATCCCTGAGAAAAGGGTGTTTTTGGTCCCTTACTGTTGGGGAACTCATGATTTGTGAATTTTAAAATTTGTTTTGCAGGTGTTTTTTGTTTGGCTTGGTTTTGGTTTTGGTTTTGGTGTGCGTATCACCCTTCATACAACATGATTTCCTGTATCTCTGGCTACATATTTTAGGCATCTTTTTTTTTAATATTTTATTTATTTATTTGACAGAGAGAGAGCAAGAGCACAAGCAGGGCAAGTGGCAGGCAGAGGGAGAAGCAGGCTTCCTGCCAAGCTGGGAGCCCAGTGCGGGGCTCGATCCCAGGACCCTGGGATCATGACCTGAGCTGAAGGCAGCCACTTAACTGACTGAGCCACCCAGGTGCCCCTATTTTAGGCATCTTTTTAAAAACTATACGATTTCTGGTCTAGAAAAACTTCTCAGCCTATGCCTGAGAGTTAGGATAACCTTACTGGCACAACTTAAAGGGTTTCTTTTATTCACATTTTTACCTTGTTGTATTTTTAAAATAAAAGCACCTATTTTCAGTGTGCTAGGGAGACAGTGTGTCCGGGTTATGGCTGTTTCTCAGATGGCTGAGAAATGAAAGACTGTCTTTAATAATTTGTCCTTGATAAGCAACACGTAAAATAAAATCTAATTCCAACTCCCAGTCATTAAGCTAGGTAAAAACTAAACAAACCTTAACCGTGTTTTAGCAGTCCTTGTCACTGTTTCACCATCTCCCTGGCTGTGAATAGTGCTGATGTCTCTCTGTGGGAGATAGCATTTTACTGCTACTTCCCAGCCAGAAGCCCTGTCTACTGACATAGTTTGACACAGGAAGTGATGGTCAGCATTTGAAAGCCTGAGAGAAGCTGGAGACTTTTCACTGTTGTTTTAAGGTAAGTTTTGCTATTTAACAGGGAAAAAAACCATGTAGAAATATTAAGTTCTTGTATCCAAAAGTCAAATTACTAAGGGATAGAACTTACCTTCAAACAACGGTAAAATTCTCCTGCTTTGAGGACTTTGTTAACCTGTTTCCTGTCATTTCTGGAGAAATGTAACCCCTTCCAATTACTTAAGAGTGCTTTCTGCTGTCAATTTGTCCTATTAAGATGCAGCTTTATTTAAAATTGCATGAGCTAATGGGTTAATACCAAGATTATTTGTTCCGAAAGGCTTTATTGCATAGAGGGTAAAAACAGAGACTCTGGAGGTAAGCTGATTGAATTTGAATTCCGACTCAGCCACTGACTAGCTATGTGACCTTGGGAAGTTACGTAGCCATTCTGTGCCTCAGTTTCTTTCCTATCAAATGGAGATAGTAATAGTACTTCCTCGTTAAATAATTTTGGGTATATAGTAAGTATTCAATATGTGCTGTCATTTTTTAATTGTCGTTATTATTAATGCTTATTATCACACTTGGTTGTAGTATATGTCCTTAACATTTTTTAGTCCAGTATCATATCTTTGTGCTAGAAAGCTTAGACATCTAATCCCTTAAATATGGCCCATCTGAGCACAAAGCTAGCAGATTCTTAAATATTTGGGATGTCTAATTAGGTTCCTGCACCTCCAGCAACTAAAGTCTCCAGTTCTCCCTTGAACCATGAGTTACATCATCTATACAACAAACATTTATTCAGCATTTATTTATCAGGTTCTGTGCTGGGCGCTAGAGTTAACACTCTGACCAGACAAACACAGTATGTTCCTCACAGAGCCACATGTCTAGCCAAAGATACAAACAACCTAAGAGGCATTTCTTATAGGTGCTATTAGTGTTTCATAGAAGGAAGCATATGGAACATGTAAGAGGAACTCCTCAGCAGCCCTTGCAGGTGAAGAAAATGGATAAAAAGATGTCAAAGTGGAGATGAAGGTTATATAGAATTATATGGAGCTGGGACATGGTTAACAAGAGTGTTCTAGCAGAGCAATAGCATGTGAGCCCAGACATAAGAGCTCTGTGATGAGAGAGTTTATGGAACTTTTTTTTTTTAAGATTTTATTTTTAAGTAATTGTTAACACCCAACGTGGGGCTTGAACTCACAACCCCAAGATCAAGAGTCGTGTGCTCTACCCACTCAGCCAGCCAGGTGCCCCAGTTTATGGAACATTTAGAGAAATTAAAGTACTTCCTGCTAGTGGAAGGATAGGGTGTGGGATTGTGTGACTGAATCATGAAAAACCTTTTAGGATTTGTGAAGACATTAAAATGCAGGACAGTGGGGTGCCATCAAAAGATTGTGAACAGAAGAGTAGCATGGAAGAGCATTCATTAACCTTGTGGAGAATGGGTTGGAGAGGAGCACTGATGGAAATAGGAAGATGGTGGTGGCTTCAAAAGATACTAAGCCCAGAGAGCCAACAGGATTTGGTGATGGATTGGATATGAGGGAACAAGGGAGAGGAAGGAGGCAGAGGTGAACTTTCAGGTTTCTGGCTAAGATGCTGGTAGAAATGATGGTACTGGTTGAGAAGCAGATTTGTAGAGAACAAAAGGGAAGAATTTGCTTTCAATTTCTGACAAGCTGGGTTTGAGGTTACCTTTGAAACTTAGGTTGAATATTGTAGTCTAGAGCAGCTCTGTTCAATAGAAGGATAATGTAAGTCATGTGTAATTTTAAATTTTCTAGTAGCCACATTAAAAAAAGTTTAACAGGTGAAATTAGTATATCTTTTTGTAGTGAGGCTCTGAAATCCTACATAGATTTTACATTTCACAGTGCACCTCACTTTGGACCAGTCACATTTGAAGTGTCCAGTAGCTGCAGTAGGACAGTGCAGTTCTAGACCTGGTGAGCTCGATCTAGGCTGCAGATAAGAGAACTGGGAATCAGTAGGCATATACGTGATAACTGAATTGTGGGAGTAGGTGAGATCAGCAATGTGTAGGGTCAAAGAGAGAAAATATTGATATTTAAGGGATAGGCAAGAAAGAGCAACTAACAAAAGGGAATGAAAAAGATGGCCAATTCTAGTACTCATCAGAGAATTCTATCATGAACCACCCATGTACTTGCCATATTTGGATAAAATTTGTTAGTTGGAGTGAAAAAGACAAAGGAGTGTGTTCCTTTTCCATTTCTCTTAAGTTTCTTACGCTCTGTCTTAAGTTTGTTCAGCAGAAAGCAGCTACCTGGGATGCTTTTGTAGTTCCATGCAGAATCTACTTTATTGAATTATGATTTAATGATATAGCTTTAATTTTGTATAATATCATTATATTAAAATATTCCTCAAATGGATCTATCTTTTGCAAAACTGTTGGCTATATATATATAACATGTTTGTTATTACAGATCAATCTCAACGAGGTAGCCTCTTCACTCTCTTTTTGAACAATCCTCTAATGGCCTTCCTATTTGTCTCTGGATTGTCAAGCATGCGCAGAGGCCTATGGGAAAAATGTCAAGAATATCTTCGAAAAATCAACCGTGATATTGCCCAGCTACTGACCCATTCACGTTCAATAGGTACCCTACTAATCTAACTGAACACTTAACATACTATAATGGTTTTATATTGTTGAAATTGTTTGAATTTTTAAAGGTATTTGTTGAAGGCAGGAAAGTTGAGAAGGTTTTCGAACTTTCTTCCCCTTTGAAATGAGTTTTTCTTTTAAGCATCTTTTTACTGTCATCTTTCTCCTCTTTGCAGATCAAGCATTTCTCCAGTTTTTTGGAGATGAGTTTCTTCGCTTGCTTCTCACAAGATTTATCTTTTGTTCAGCCACCATGAGGATGCACAAGATTTTTCGGGTAGGCAAAGAATATTATTAAAGACCAATTTTACCATTTTAGGTATTTAGGAATCATGTATTATATTTTATTAAATATACTGTATTAAATAAAATCTTAATAGATTCAAAATAATATTTACAAATTATTATGTAACATATAAAGATGACCCATATAAGGCACATCTGAATGCCAGTTTAAGAAGTAGAACATTTTCATTACCTTTTAGGCCCTTCCTGGATCCTATCTCTCTCTCAAATGAAATTAAAATCTTGAATTTTATAATTATCATTCGTTTTTCTTTATAGCTTTGCCATATGTATTTATATTCCTACACAACATGTTGATGGATCCAAATTGTATGTATTCTTCTACAGCTTGCTTTTTTTTCACCTACTATTATAGTCCTGAGATTGAGCCAAGTTGATGACAACCGTAACTTTCATCCATTTGTTTTCAGTGTGCTATAGGATTCGATTGTTTGACTGTATATCAAAAATTTCTTGTCCATTCTACTGATAATGGATATTTAGTTGTTTCCATTTTTTTATTATTATAAACAATGCCACTGTGAAATCTTCTATCAGTTACCTGGTACACATGTATAAGATTTTCTATACTGGGATGTGAGGTCAGATTATATAAGCATCTTCAAATTTACTAGGTAATGCCAAATGTTTTGCAAAGTGGTTGTATCAATTTACACTCACTAGCAGTTTGTAAGAGTTACTTTTGCTCTAATCCTCACCACTTGTTGCAGTCTTACTTTATATCGTGTGACTCTAATGGGTATAAATTAGTAGTTCATTGTGGTTTTAATTTTTATTTCTGAGATTGCTTTTAGGTTGAGTAACTTTTCATGTTTTATTCTTTGTTCCTCTTTGTGAAGAGTGTGTTCAGATCTTTTGTCCATTTTGCTCTTAAGTGATTTGGTCTTTTCTGTGAATTCATATAACTACATAACACTGTTTATTGAGGTTTTAAAAATTTTAGCTATTATATTTTCATTTCTGTAAGTAACATTTGGTTCTTTTTCAAATATGCCTGAACATTTTTTAAAGAATTCATTTATTTACTTGAGAGAGAGAGAGAGAGAGCGGGGGGAAGAGCAGAGAGAAACCAGAAGGAGAGAAAATCTCCAGCAGACTTTGCATTGAATGTGGAGCCTGACGCAGGGTTCAGTCTCAATACATATATTTTACATTTCACAGTGTACCTCACTTTGGACCAGTCACATTTGAAGTGTCCAGTAGCTACAGTTCATCAAAAGGAGATCCTGATCTGAGCTGAAACCAAGAGTTGGATGTTTAACCAACTGAGCCACCCAGGCACCCCTATGCCTGAACATTTTTAAGTCTCTTGTAACTTTTAGTTTAAAAATAGGATGATTTTTTCCATTTTATTATGGTAATTTTAAATATGAAAGAATTGTGCAATGAATATCCATATATACACTAGCTAGATTCTGCAGCTAACATTTTGATATATTTGTTTTGGTACATTTATCCACTCCTCTTTTCATTCATCAGTTTATCTCATTTTGTGATGCATTTTGAAATAAATGGTGGACATCAATAGATTTTACCCCTTAACCCTTCATCATACATATAAATAACTATACACACACACACCTTTTTTTAATTTTATTTTATTATGTAATGTTAATTACCATACATTACATCATTAGTTTTTGATGTAGTGTTCCATGATTCATTGTTTGTGTTTAACACCCAGTGCTCCATTCAATATGTGTCCTCTTTAATACCCATCACCAGGCTAACCCATCCCCCGACCCTCCTCCCCTCTAGAACCCTCAGTTTGTTTCTCAGAGTCCATAGTCTCTCATGGTTCATTTCCCCACTTCTTTTTTTTAAATGTGAAGTGCACAAAACTAACATGTGCCATTAGGTGAGTTTTGACAAATACATACACCTGTGTATCAAGTTATACAACATAGCATCATTCCAGAAAATTCTCTCTAAACCCTTTTCCAGTCAGTCCAGTACCCATTACCCCAGAGGCAATGCTGTTTTTTATTATTTTCACTATAGCTTAGATTCACCTATTCAGGAACTTGAATTATACAGTGTGTACTCCTTTGTGTAAACCTTCTTTGACTAAGCATGTTGTTCTTTTTTTTTTTTTTTAAGATTTTATTTATTTGGTAGAGAGAGGCACAGCGAGAGAGGCAACACAAGCAGGGGGAGTGGGAGAGAGAGAAGCAGGCTTCCCGCTGAGCAGGGAGCCCGATGCAGGGCTTGATCCCAAGACCCTGGGACCATGACCTGAGCCGAAGGCAGACGCTTAATGACTGAGCCACCCAGGCGCCCCCAAGCATGTTGTTCTTGAGATTCATCCATGTTTCATATAAAAGGAGCTCATTCCTCTTTATTACTGAGTAGTAGTAGTCCATTGTCTGAATATACCACAGTCTTTTTAGACCTTCTCCTTTTGATGAACACCTGGCCAATTTTAAATATTTGACTACTGTAAATAAACCGGCTGTGAACATTCTTGTACAAGTCTGCTCAGACATATATTTTGAATTTTCTTGGTCATAGGGTAGGTATGTGTTTAGTTTTATTATAAACTGCCATTTCTCAGAGTATTTGTACCATTTTATGTTTCTAGCAACAGTGTACAAAAGTTTCCCTATATCCTTGCCAACATTTGGTGTTGTCAGTCTTTTAAATTTCAACCATTTTTGTGAATGTTTTTTTAAAGATTTTTATTTATTTATTTAAGAGAGAGAATGAGCATGAGCGGGGCAGGGGCAGAGGGCGAACCAGACTCCCTGCTGAGCAGGGAACCCAACGTGGGGCTCAATCCCAGGACCCCAGGATCACAACCCAAGCCGAAAGCAGATGCCCAACTGACTGAGCCACTAGGCGCCCCCATTTTTGTGAATTTATAGTGTTATCTCATTGTAGTTTCAATTTGCATTTCACTGAATAATGTGATGTTAGACATCTTTTTATGTGCTTCTCAGCTATATTTTATTGCGTTCTGTGGCTTACCTTTTTCTTTCCTTGAACAGTGGCTTTTCTTAACAGTTGCTTTTAAATTTTTGATCAAGTTTCAACTAACCAATTTTTTTCTTTTGTGGTTTGTGTTTTATCCAAGAAATTTTCACCTATTCCAAAGTCACAAAGATTTTTTCCAAGTTTTCTTCTAGAAGTTTTATAGCTTTAGCTTTTTTACATTTAGGTCTATGATGTATCTTGAGTTATTTTTGTTTACAGTGTAAGGTAAGGGTTAACGGCTTTTTCTTTCATATGGATATGAAATTATTTTAGTATCATTGAAATGGTTATCCTTTTCTCTTTGAATTACTTTTGTAACGTTTTTGAAAATCTGTCAACCATATATGTATAGAGATATTTCTAGACTCTAAATTCTGTTTCATTGACCAATGGCATTTTTCTCCAATACACTGCTGCCTTAATTATTCCAGTTTTTTTTTAATTGATTATTCCAGTTTTATAATAAGTCTTAAAATCCTGTAGTGTGAGTCCCCCTAAAATTTAAGTGTTTTGGTTATTCTGGGTCCTTTCTATGTGAAATTTAGCAGCGACTTCACATTTTGATTGGGATTGCATTTATTCTATGTAACCAATCTATGGAGAATTGTATTTTAATAATATTGAGTCAATCGATGACTATGGTGTATTTCTCCATTTATTTAGGTCTTCAGTTTCTCCCAGCAGTGTTTTGTGATTCTCATCTTATAGGTGTTGTATCTTAATAAATTTATTCCTGAGTATTTCAAGTTTAGAGATGCATTATAAATAGAATTGTATTTTTTATTTCATATTCCAATTATTAGTTGCTAATACACAGAAATACTGCTGTTTTTAAAATTGACCTTGTGGCGCCTGGGTTGCTCAGTCGTTAAGCATCTGCTTTTGGCTCAGGTCAGGATCCCAGCGTCCTGGGATCGAGCCCTGCATCGGGCTCCCTGCTCAGAGGGAAGCCTGCTTCTCCCTCTTCCACTCCCCCTGCTTGTGTTCTCTCTCTCGCTGTGTCTCTGTCTGTCGGATAGACAAATAAAATCTTTAAAAAAATAAAAAAATAAATAAAATAAAATTGACCTTTTTTCCTTGCAGTCTTGCTAAATTGAAATGTTAGTTCTGCTAGCTTTTTTTATACATTCCTTAAGATTTTGTATGTACATAATCGTCATTTTCAAACAAAAGTAGTTTTTACTTCATCCTTTCCAATCTCTATGTCTTTTATTATGATGGGGTTTTGTTTGTTTTGTTTTTGCTTTTGTACTTTATTTCAAGGTTAGGTCTTCTGGTAAAATGTTGAATAGAACTAGTGAGAATGGATGTCCTTGCTTTGTTCCTGGTTTTTGGGGAAAAATATTTAATCTTCTACCCTAAATTAGATGTTGCCTGTTGGTTTTTCATAGATGTCCTGTTTCAGGTTGACTGAGCTCCCTTCTGGTCCTAATCTGTTGAGACTTTTTTTTATCATTAATAGGTATGGAAGATTGTCACATACTTTTTTTCTTCATTAAATGATCTAATATTAATTCTATTAACACGGTGAATAGCATTGGTTGATTTTTCTAACAGTAAGTTCAGCCTTGTTATCTGGGTTAATTGTATTTTGTGGTCACGTATTATCCTTTTGCATTGCTGGATTCAGTTTGCTAGTATTTCCTTATGGATCTTTACATCTTTTGTTATGAGTGAGTATGGGACTTAATTTTCTATTCTCATAATGTTTTCGTGTGGTTTTGTTATCAGGGTATTGCTGACTTCATAAATTGAGTTGGGATGTGTTTCATTCTCTTCTACTTCTTATAGTTTCTTTAGGATTGGTATTATTTCTTCCTTGGAAGGTTGATAGCATTCACTAATAAAGCATCTGGACATGGAGTTTTCCTTTTTGGAAGTTTTTAAATTATGAGTTCAATTTCAAAGGCTTTCCATATTTTCTGTTTTTCTTAGTCAATTTTGATCATTTGTGTCTGACAAGTTCATTCGTCTAATTTATTGCAAAACATTGTCCAT